AAGGAAGGCAGCACCAGAGTTTAGAACAGTAAACGAAGGATTACGGTTATCGCAGAATAGAATCTCGATTAGAAAAAGAAACAGACAGAAATGATACCAGGCAGTACATGCAACCATTTAAGCAGTTCTTCCTGAGAACTTTAAACAAAAGCAAAAACCGACGTAGAACGAAAACGTGCCATATAGGCGGTTTGGAATGGGTTTTTATTAGTAGTTTTTGGGGAAAACACCGATTACACTGACAGCGAGGGCTGGAACATTGAACCGTATATCACTATTGGAAAAGTTTGCCACTGCATCAAGTGAAAGTAATGAGTTATTGAATCCAACAATAATATTATACAAATGATAATAGGATAATTATGTACCTTGCTCAAAGTTGATGAACACGACGGTTTACAAAGGAGATTTAGGAGGCCTCTGGTAGCATCTTTGAAATGATAGATGCCACTCGAGGCAAATCTCCTTTCCCCCTGGTTTTTATTCATCCACCTTTTACCTGTGGCTCCAAAAAGCTTTGACACGTTTTTCAAGCGACCTAACCGGGATGAAAACAAACCAAAACTTAAGAACCGGTGAGACGACATAGATACGCGTAAACAGCTACTCCTGATTGCGCCCGTTAGCTCTACTACCTGGTCAAAGGGTTACAATAGAAACATGATCAACAGACACATGAATCCCTGTTCTAGAATTCTGGAATGAATGAGCTCCCAAGAAACCCTCGGCAATCATGCACCTGCATTTAGTTGCCTTGCAATTCACACTTGTTTGTGTAAACGTAAAACGTGCGTCCTCGAAGAAACAGTGTCTCTGGGAACGTGTGTAACAAACCCGTGACCTTCAAAGGTGGGTTTATCCGCGTCAAACAGGCAATTAATCGTGGTAAAAGATAATATGAAAGTAACAACTAATCTGATAACGTTTGATTGGAACTAACTTCACAACTACTTACAACATCCGCAGCAGATTCCCGATTCACCGAAGAAGGTTTTTGTTCTGCTGATGAAAGTGTCCTAGGCAGAGGATGGCCTATCGGAGCTTTGGGGCGCTTGAAAAGCGACAAATCCCCTGTTGGCGAACCTCCCACCAAAGGAAGGAGGCTACCGGATTTAGATAAATCTTGATGAGGGCCTAAAAGATGAAAGGTGCAAACGGGAGAATGAACGGTGTTTTTAACTGCAGAATACGCAAAGGGTGAGGTCACAAAATCCTGCTAAAGAAATATAAACAGTCTAAATGGAACAGGGTGACTAAATGATCTCTTAGAGTTTATTTTGTTAGAATTTAAAGACAGTAGGATTTCCGGAATACGAGGAAACAGTCTGACAAATTAACGTTGATCACATTTTTTGTGATATCATTCTCAAACGATTACACTCACATCTGATAGGGATTGACCAACATGCGGAAATGGATTAAGGTCCAATGAATCAAAGCGCACAATCGTAGGTGGGTAGCATGGGATGACGTGGAGGACAAGCAAACAGCAATGATCCGTGTAATACATAGCGCAAGACGGATTGGAGCAAAGGACGCGTTGCACAAAGAACTCGGGAAGACGTCATCGGAAAACGCGTATCCGGATAAGTTCATCAATTCACAAAGAACCAATGAACCGGATATAATTCCGTAGTTCTCGAGTTATCATTAAAAAGACTTTGCTACTGAGAGTCAGCAGAACTTTTACTGTGACATTGGAGTCCAATGGGGTGATTTCAGATAAAAACAAACTGTCTTTTATGACTTATTTCGTGCATAGCTGATAGATGGTTCTACTGTCACCAAGAGCAGTACCCTACTTTAGGCTCCTTGGATAGGTCGCCCTTAGTATACTCAATCCTCAGTGAACAGCACAATTAAGGAAAACATCACTTAGGTGCACCTAATTCAGTATCGCATCAATATGTCACTTACATTCATTTTCGGTCTGAATAACTAAGTTGTTCAGATCCTCGAATCCCCAACTACACTCTCTTCCAATACACCATCAGCCTCAGGGTCATATCTATAACCGACAGCTGGTATCCGTGCCTAAGGCCACTAATCAATAACTACTACTCGCGTCCTCGACATGTATTTCTCAACCCGAAACTTGTAGGTGATGAAACAGAAACTCCGATTCACCCCTTTCAATCACCGTTTTTTAGACTACCGTTTTAATATTTACGATACCTGTTTTTGACTGTCCCCAAGCATTGAAAACCAAATGGGTGTTAATCCAACCCACTCGTCCATCATCCACGAAGATTTCAATTTCCACAACAAAAGATGGGTTTTAAGCACTCAACCGAAACGAGTCCAATCGGACGCAAGGCGGAATCCTTTACCGTGGTGAACCAACTAACTGATTAACCTTCCTAAGCGTCCCCGACCCTAATGGTAATTGCATTTACACCCTTGGCTTTGAGCTTACATCTATCCCTTCCTTTGTTTATTTCTGTCTCTCTCTCTTGAGTGTGAACGCACGACGGTTCGGTGACTGTTCCACTCAACATTACGCCACTGCGTTCCGCGACAATGAAGTTAACGCCTCTTCGATGCGCGCCTTTTGACTGTAGTCTGTTACCTACAAGATACTAAACGGTGGTAGAACTTTCAGGTCACACTTACGCAAGACTCATCTTGGTGTATGTCCTTAATGGAGAAAAACCAGTACTGCTTTAAAGACCATGAGGTAACAGAGTAACTTCGAATATACGGCCTGCATGATGTTATTACGATCTCAACCAACTGAATAGTTTATACTGAGCTAGATAATATTTATTCTTTTTCACGCACGTCAGAGTCCGGACTATGTATCAAGAGAATTACAGTACAATAATCTCTATGAAAAGAGAGGGTTCCATGATGTGCATGTGGGTGCGATACCGTCAGGTGGATCAGGCTAGGGCAGGACAAAACCATAAATCTTAAATAGGGTTTATGATCCGCTTAAAAGCGCCTGTCAGGACGAATGACAGACCATGTATGTTGCTAGGATATCAAAAACAGCACAAGATTGATGTTTAATAGGAGGATTAGAACTTGAAACGACGGCGTCTAGTCGGGCTCACCACTTTCTTTATCACAGAGGTCTGTGGGTACATGGCTCATTTTTCAAATTGTCCGATCCAGCAAACTATTAAATAAGGATAGAAACCGAATAAATTTTGTTGCATGCCAGAGAGGAAGAACAATGATTGATAGAATCGATGACCACATTAGAGCCGTATACACTACACCTGAAATTCAATTAAAGGGGTTGATGATAACAATCTTCAGAAGCAACTGTGATATTAAAATGGTTTGCAAAGTTTATGTGAAAGACAGTGATGAAACAGTCTATGTACTGGATAGAAAACGCACTGGAAGGCTGCTTCCTTCTTATTGGTGGTCATTATTAGTGGGTCCTACTTCTATATCCCTATCGAGAAGAACAATAAAATCAAATAATGGTATCTGTGAATTAGTATGAAATAGAATATGAACATATTCAACACTGATTGACGTCAGCCAAAGGGCATCTTCGGTGGGAGAGTTCCGACGCGGTATTTCCGTCTGAACGGAAACAAAACCGAACTTGGATTGAGTGATTTAGTTCGAAAAACAACCTACACCTAAGTGAACTCACTTTTCAGATGCTCCGGCTGGGGCATCTCAGAAGCTTCGGACAGTAGGAAGTCTGAAGGCAATGACAAGTCTGCACCTGTTTCATCCAAATCTCGGGGCTTCGACGTCTGAAACGCAGTTGGTTTGAAATCATTGTCAGGTTTTTTGTTCAAGTCGCGTGCATGGCGGCATGTGGGTTTGTGCTGTCTGGCGCCGGCTGGACGATCTGTGCGGCGATGGGTATAATGTCTGAAGGGCTCTATACTCAAAGCGAAACGACGCCGTACCAAGAACCGCGATGTGGCATTGCCGACTTTGCCATGAATAACAGTGCTGTTAAAAATGGAACACACTACTGTAATCGAAACCCGAAGTTTTCCCATAAAAAGCTCTGTTATGCATGAAACAGTGGAAGAGAATCATGACAGAAAATTTTCCGGCATACTACAGATACAAGAAGTAAACAAAACATCATTGCATAAAGAAAGAATTTTACACCAACCTTTCGGTAGAGATCTCCTTTTTCAATAACAAGGGCGTGCAAAACCACATCAAGGTTAACTTACCTTGATGGTACACTGATTCATCATCAGTAACGCCGTCTTGAACAATGGGCAGAACATTTCAGCTGACTCCCGTCGACACAAAACCTCCCTATACCTGCTTCAACTGGGTAAATACTATCAGTTGATATCAGTCCTCTAACTGAAATGAAAGTCATCCGGAAAATCAGTTGCCTCAAAAGGTATCAGGCCCGCGGTCCGGGTGGGCTAATCTCATCGGTTTTTGAGGATAAAGGATCAGCCTTGGTTCAGGAGTTGACGAAACTCCTGGGCTCAATATGGTAGAGAGAAGAGGTTCCAACCGAACGGTGTGAATCGGTAATCATACCGAGTTACACGAAAAGTAACAGATCCTCTCGTGAAAACCACAGAGGAATTAGTTTAATCAACATTGTCTCGAACCTTCCTCGACCTGAAAGCGGCTTTTGACTCAGTTGACCGCTCTAAACTCTGGCGCTGCCTTTCCCTCCAGGATTTGCCCAAGAAGTTAATTTCAATATTACAATCCCTCTACAGTCCGAGCTTACGACACGTTTTCACCCGAGGTCATCAGAGAAAGTAGTGTTCGTGAAGTGGCCACTTCACAAGCACTGATGATGTCACCTCGGCTGGTGATGAAACGTTTGCAAACAAATTGCCAAGCCCGGCGAACAGGCGAAATGGAATAGGTTCGGGTTTTCATGTCCTCATATTTAGTTTGACCACCCTTACACTTTTTCACCTATCACCTACAATGTTCGAACACCGATACTCTGTGCGGCTTTTGTAACGGCCATTTCTGCACAACACCAGAGAAAAGGACAGACAGCTGAAGCGTACACTCGACCCTTCACAAACATTCAGATGTTGCTTTGGAGCCAAAGGCATCACAATTTAGCAAATGGCTACCGAGGCTTTTATATGCGTGCCGACACTTCTGCGAGTCCGAGTCCGACGAGTCCGCCGGATGGAATATCACTGTTCAAACAGCAAAACCTGTTTTTTTATTGCCTACCCATTTGAAGTGTGGTCGGAAGCTACACCTGCTGAAGTTTTAATAAGCATTTAAAACTCCGGTGCAAAACGCACGCCGAAAATAGCTACAATAGAGAGCTTACACTACTAGGATTTTCAGTTATCAATAAAATATCGGCTAGGCACCTCATATCAGAAAGACTGGCGTTTATTTCCTTTGTTATGAAGATCCTTCCATCGTGATTTGTCTGGTATACAGTCTGGACTCAGACAAGCATGAATCTGCCAACAGCTTGCGACTGTGACCGCGTCGAAATTGTGCACCAAAGAAAAGTGCTAGTTTTTTGACTGAACAGATTTCAATAATTGGTCGTACAGTGTACCTCGGGACAGTGTAGTATGAGATAACAATACAAGTATAAAGCACCACTATCTACCTTTCGCAACGTGCAAGCGTCGACCAGGGTGAAAAATGAATTTTATGATTTTATGATATCGTTAGTGCTTTAGCACACTCATTTAACGAACACTACGGGAGTCACGGGGCTCCGAGACGCCATAGAAAAGTGCCCGGGTGGCTGATTCGCAATACCATCCTACTGAACAAATAACGGCTATCCATCTCTTTAAATGCTACTTGGGTCGGTGCATGATTTGGGGTTGTTCTGCGAGTATTCAGTTATAAAATTAGAATATTGCCAACACTAATCAACGTTGGTGGTAGCCAGTCTCGCTGTTGTCAAAAGCATAAAAAATGATACTATGCACTATGAATCTGGGTTGTCAATGGTACGCATATTCCGAATAAAGAATGTAACCAGATAATTATTATGATTTCAACTGCTGTAGGTGATGACTTACCGACTAGGGACACAAAAGCGATCTGATTGTGATCCTTGTGACTGAATAAAGTCAATCATAGTGTTGTCGTAGTTTGCGAGGTCCAAATGGTTAACGGCATTTCGAATAGCCAATGAAGCGTCATATGACTGTGAGGGAGGACTGAGTTTCGCAATACCCAAGAGTTCTTCTTTGGACGGGTTTTCCTTGTCGACGCTGCTTGGGCTGCCAGGAGAACTGTTCCGCCCGCAAGTAGTGTCATCCATTATTACTAAAAATAAATCAGAGAATTTAGCAGAATGTCGGAACAACTGGAGTAACCTGGTGGGTATAATTTGACGCATACTTACGCGCTGGACTATGGGGAAGATTAGTTGGTGTTTGTTCAGATGCGTTGGAAACACTGTCATCAAAGTCAGCTTCCGAACTCTGAGTATTCTTCACCAGAACGGCAGGTTGGGAAATGCGCGTATTGAGAGACGCACGCGTACATGGTCGCTTCTCAGAGGGTCTGCGCCTAAGAAAATTTGCTCCGCTAGTAAGCCACGAGGCTACGACATCGCGGGCGTTAGCCTGACTTTGCTCGACTGAGTCTGACGAGAGTGATGCCTGTAAGAAAAAAAGAAGTTCGGAGAGATTATTAGAATATCATAAGGAATTGTTACTCCTTATATCTGATCTTGTTCGTGGCAATCCATAGGTCATAAGACTAAATAGATAATATATTGACATCACTCACGTAGTTACTGTTCCTAAGCTTGACGAACAAGCATTTAAAAGCATTGTCTGATAAATTAAGAGGGAGGGAGCATGTGGGTTATTAGGCCGGTTAAAGACCCCTAAGTGGCAACAACTTTACAAACAAGATGACATATTAGAATGTATGAGTCAAGAATTCCTTATTGAGAGTTAACGCAGACCGATTAACCATCTCCGTGAGTGATTTTTTTTTATAAAACGTTCTGATTGTACAGCTTTTTAAATTCTTGTAGACTTTAACCACTCCCCACATACGGAATTAACATTTAGTTCTAACGACTCCATATGGTGGTGGTGGCACAGTGGTTTAGACGCTATCACCGGCGTGCTTTGGACCCTATGATCCGAGGTCCGAAACCCCGCCACCGCCATCCGACTCTGGTGGTAGGCAGCTCCGCTGTCGTCCGGTTCAATACCACGCTTAACCTATCGGGGCCTTATGTGGTTCGCCACTCTAAGTCCCGGGGCTTAGGTTGCCGATTTCAATCACTGAACAGCAGGTCCTCATGACTATCAGGTTGACCCCGTCTGCTGTTCATCACACCTAGGTGTGTAATAAAAAAAAACTTTGTTTTCCGACACACCTCGTATATCTGGGGAAACTCCCCTGTGCTCTATCTCACCAAAAGAGGGTATCAAGTGAACTCTACCTCAGATCTGGATAACGATCCTTTATACTCTTTATAAAAGCTTATTTGTTTTTCAAGTAACGGATTCAATGCGACGGTTGGTGTGCGTTGAACTTGCAAAATACAGTGGGGCGGTAAGCTGTAGCATGAGCAAACCCGTACTCCCAAGGATCTACAGTGCCGCCATGGGAGCCGAGATCCTAAGCACCGTAATTTGGAGTGACCCAGCACCTAAGTCCACGACGGAAAAACAATCATCGCATAACAGATATAATTCCAGTCGGGTTAGATATAAGATCCTTTTCGTAATTGGAAAACAAATGCAGAATGATTTGTGGACGATCGATAAGTGACTCACATTGCGACGATCACGCTTTCTAGCTTCGGTAGGACCAACGGAAAGCGGCTGAGACGACTGATCTGAACCGATTTTATTTTCTATGCCAGTCAACATTTTTTCCGTTTTATTCGTTATTGGGGTGATTGGACGCGAGCAGGAGGAACACAGAGGTCGACCAGTGTAAAACCCTTGCAGTTGGCGCCCTAGGACGGAAATTATAATCAATAATTCACTTACGCAAGCCATTAATTTCCAGCTCCTTGCCTTCAATAATTTCTCTCAGGCGTTTAAGGATGCTTAGAGAAATATAAATCCTCAAAACTACTTACTCGGATAGAGACTGGTTTTCCACAGTGAGACGATTCAATTCGGTATCGCGTTCTAGAAAATATTTTTTTAAACAGAATTATACCTTTGTTGGAGCGGTCAAAACGTTCCTTTATATCTTAACAGGAATGATCGGAAGAAATCCATTCACCTACCAGATATTACCGAAGAAAGTTCGGTCCATATCATTTGCCTCGCATTGAAAAGACTTGAAACAACAGCCGACTCGAAGGCATGTGATCTTTCCATAGCATCCATTTCCAATGTTCCGTTCAAAAGGACACCGTAGATACCTGAGAAAAATGACAAGTTGTTAGTTCTTAAAATGGGGAACAATTACTAACTGGCACAATAACCTAGAGGATGTGTTAATTTCAACCTTTCAACCTATTTATACTAGTAGCCGAAGTCTTGTCCGAACTTACCGCAATTTTCGTCCGAGTCGGAAGAGCAGAGCTGTATGCTACCAGGTCGCGGATAGGGGAACGGCCGCCATCTCGCGGCTAACCGTGAATAAGGTGGGCTTCGGCCTACCGAATAAGCGGTCGCGGACGAGCAGCGGCAGCGCTCGAGGATGTGATGGGTTTACTCCTGGCAAGGGTTCTCCGCTCAAAACACCACGTACATCTGCGGACAGCGCTGTGACGTGGCGAGTGTGGCCCGCCACTA